CTTGCCTGGAGAATCCCATGGACAGAGGCTGGTGGGCTACGGTCCACAGTGTTGTGCAGAGTTGTGCACAACTGAAGTGACTGAGCACGCGTGCACACTCACCAGGGCCAGTTTTAGCATGGATGATTTAAGCCTAGAGACAGCCCCAGCATCCATTCATCTCCATCTCCACCAACCTTCCCCTGGCACATTTCTCAAAAGAACCATTTACAGGCCACAAAGTGACCCAACATCAGTTGCATCTTTGGTCCAGCAAAAAGCTCTCTGCCCAAAACCCTTATTTAAATTTTGTCCCAAATATCTCACTTTCTGTTTAAAAAAAAAAAGTTGTTTTAGTTAAGACAACTTGTAACTGAAACCACTATTTCTAATTTTTGCCAGAGAATTATTGACTAATTGGTGCATCCAAAAGCTGGTTTTAGCCAGTTCTGGCCTCAGGGGGATGTGCCCCACCCCCACCCCTGCCTCACTGTGTTCCAGGCACGGGACTGTTTCATGAGCAACCCCAGGCTCTCGAAAGCCAAGCCATCCCTATAAATTCTGAAAGAAAAGACTGGCCTGGGTGACTGCATCACCCCAACCCGTGTTCCCAGACAACCCACAGGCATCTTGTTCTGCATGTGTCTCCGCAAAGGCTCAACACTGAGGACCTGCCAACAGCTGAAAGTTATAAATAGGACAGTTAGAGAGGCTGGGGGATGGAGGAGCAAACTCTAACAAGAGTTAGATGCAAGGGGCCAAGAAGGCTTTTTGGAGGGACAAAGAAGAAAATACCATGGTGTGCTTCTAAAACCAAACAGAACAGTACAATCTAACTTCATCTATCTAATCTGTTGGTCTCAGGGGATTGACTGTTACAGAGGGATTTCTCTAATGTAGTGATGTCACTTGGGGAATGTCACTTCCTCGAGTAAGATCCTATTTGGCTAAGTGGCTGGGTGGGTGGGGGGGGTACACCAATAAGCCCTCTAGAACAGGGGTTCTACAGGAAACTTGAACCTCAGCTTGAAGCAGGACCTTAAGGTGGTATGCGCACGGTAGGGCCAGTGATTAACACTGGGGTGACCAGTAAACATCTATTATGATGCTAATCTCCCCACCTAGATCCCAGCTCCGTCTCCACCCCTTCACGCTACCCAATCCCCAGTGCCAACTACAGCGCCTGGTGTGTGGTTGGCGCTCACCATTTCATGCACTTCCTCACTCCATCATGTGAGCTTTCCTGGTGGCTCAGATGGTAAAGAGTCTGCCTGCAATGCAGGAGACAGGAGTTCAATCCTTGGATTGGGAAGATGCCCTGGAGAAGGAAATGGCAACCCACTCCAGTATTCTTGCCTGGGAAGTCCCATGGACAAAGGAGCCTGGAGGGCTAGAGTCCATGGGGTCACAGAGTCAGACACGACTGAGCGACCAACATAACCCAGGCTCCACCACGCGTCCTTGTCACTCAGAGATTTCACGGTGCTGAGATTCTGTGTCCCCTTCTGTTCCTCTTAGGCATTTTAAAGGCCCATCTTAGCTTCATAGCCCAGCTCCTCGCAGACCACCTGGCTCGCTCATGGAACAACTGAATTGCTCCCCAAGAAAGACACACATAATTTAAAGATCCCCGTTATGATGCTCTTCTATTATGTACATTAACAATTGAGGATTTCTCTGTTTCTCCATGATGTCATATATTCCTTCCTTAGCAGTATCTTCGGCTTGGGAAATATATGAGTCATCTATTCCCTTTTTAAAAGGACCCGGGAGAGCTGAATTGCAGGAATAATGAGAAACTGTGTGAAGGAGAAGCAATCCTCTTGTATCTTTCTCAAATTGCTTCCTTAGGCATTGTTTCCTGACATGTCAGGGTTGGGGAGTTTTTCGTGCTTGTAAGCGTCTCCACTCTGGGACCACCCCCCACTTCCTCTTACAAGAAGGTGAATCTCGGGATCTTAGGATCCACCTTGAAGCCCAGGAAGCAGATTCTTTCTTTTGTCCCCGATAGTAGTGAGGTTTATTCTTAGACCCAGGCTGTGAGCGGTCTCTGATTCCAGGCTTGCCCGAAATCCAGGGAGTCAGCGCCCTGGATGTCAGTTCCCCTTGCTCCACGTGGCTGACCCTGTGCCCCCACGTGAAGCTGAAACATCCAACACAAGAAAAGTAACACTGGCCTGCCAGCGTGTCCCCCAGGCCTGAAAAGACTAGAGGGTGGGACCAAGGAAAGGGGGGCAGATCTGAATGCATCCGCCCCCAAAACTGAGGGCAGGAGGACTCACGGATTTCACCTGTGTTCTTCACATTACATTTTACGGTAAGGAGTTCAGCTTTAATCACCATCCAGTATATACTCAAACTTATTCTGATAGTTTCATGTGTCAGCTTGGCCAAGCTACAGTCCCCAGGGATTCAAACACAATCTAGGTGTCCCTGTGAGGGTTTTCTGGAAATGAGATTAAAGTCCATCATCCGTTTGTTTGTTTTTTTTTTTATAACTTTTGTTCACTTTATTTTTTTCCCATTTAAATTAATTTATTTATCTTAATTAGAGGCTAATTACTTTACAATATTGTGGTGGTTTTTGCCATCCATTGACATGAATCAGCCAAGGGTGTACATGTGTTCCCCATCCCAAACCCCCCTCCCTCACTTTATTTTTTAATTGAAGTATAATTGATTTACAACGTTGTGTTAGTTTCAGGTGTACACCAAAGTGATTCCGCTTTATATACATACATATTCTTTGTCTGGAGAAGGAAATGGCAACCCACTCCAGTATTCTTGCCAGGCAGATCCCATGGCAGGCTACAGTCCATGGGGTCACAAAGAGTCAGACACAACTTAGTGACTAACCAACAAACAACCCCTTATAGGTTATTACAGAGTATAGTTCCCTGGGATGTACAGTAGGTCTTTGTTGGTGATCTATTTTATATATAGTAGTGTGTGTCTGTTAGTCCCAAACTCCTAATTTCTCCCTCCTCCCTTTCCACTTCGGTAACCATAAGATTGCTTTCTGTCTGTGGGTCTATCTCTGTATATAAATTCATTTATATCATTTTTTTTAGATTCCAGATATAAGTGGTGCCATGTGATATCTGTCTTTGAATAAGTTGTCTGGATCCATCAATTGAAAGGCCTTAAGGGCAGAGCTCAGACTTCCCTTAAAGAAACCTACTGCTGCAGGGAGAAGTCAATTCCAACTCCACGTTGAAACTGTTTCCTTGACTTATCTTCCGTTGCTCCTGTTATTACAATCACGCATAAAGAATTATGCGTGATTATACTCAGAGGACCCCGCCCCTCTGCCTGCCTGTTACACTGAAGTGCCCTTGTTAGAACCCTGTCCACCTGTAGACGGCAGGAAGGGAGAAACTAACACGGCCCCTGCCTGAGCCTTGCCATCCTAGGAGATGCTCGAGAGATGAATGGCCTTTTCTTCACTTTGTTTCCTCATCTCTGATCCGTAAAAGAACTCGGCATCCAGATCCCAACAAGACGGCTATTTTGAGAGGTCGTTAGTCTGCCATCTCCCTGGTCAGCTGGCTTCCTGAATGCAGTCGTATTCCTTGCTTCAGCACCCCATCCATTGGGTTCACTGGCCCGTCAGGCAACAAGCAGAGTGAGCTTGGCCTCAGCAACACTGCCCGTATACAGAAGCTTCAGCTTGTCCCCAAGAGGTCCAGCCTGCTCCTCCTCCCGAGAACTGCCTAGGCAGCCCCTACAGTCTGTCAACCAGTTCTCCAAAATCAATCAATCTGTATATGAAGATGGGCTTCCCCAGCGGCTCAGTGGTATAGAATCCACCCACAAGGCAGGAGACACGGGTTTGATCCCTGGGTTGGGAAGATCCCCTGGAGGAGGGCATGGCAACCCACCCAGTATTCTTGCCTGGAGAATCCCATGGACAGAGGAGTCTGGTGAGCTACAGTCCATAGGGTCACAAAAGAGTCAGACATGACTTAGCAACTAAACAACAAATATATAAAGATATATATATCTATACAGATATATATTTTTATACAGATACCATTATGAATGCTGTTTACAGATAGAAATCAATAGATAGACACACACATCTCCTACTGGTTCGATTTCTCTCATGGACCCCTGATTGCTACCCATGGTTCTTGTGTGTGTGTGATATCATTTCTTTCTGCCTCGGATCATTTAATGCATGCGTGCTAACTCAATTCAGTCATGTCCAACTCTTTGCAACCGTTTGGACTGTAGCCCACCAGGCTCTTCTGTCCATGGGTGTACATACCTACAAATAAGTGGATACTCAAGACACTACTTATTCTTCCTATTTATAATGAACTTCTATATATTTGATGTTGGTCCAGACCTCGAAATCAATTTTATGTATTATTAAAGGATCATAAGTTGCCATTTGAAAAACTATACAATAGTGAAACTTCATATACCTCACTGGGAGGTCTGGGAATTAGAAAAGATAACTTCCTCAAAGGAGTTATTGAGGGAAAATGTACCCAGGCTGTAGCGATGGTCCCACCCACATCACATGAGCAAGGCTCTGCAGGGCAGCCTCTGGGGAAAGGGGGATTCCTACCTCCAGGGGAGGGGTTACCCAAGAGACAGAGAGAAAGGTAGAGGCACTGAAGTGCTCCCAGGCCATTCTCCCCAGGAGCGGAGACCAGGCCAATTGAATTCTCGACAGAAACACATGGAGACAGCATCCTGCAGCCAGGGGACAAGGCGTTGGCAGCGGACGACGGGCTTCTTGGCAGCAGCCTTCCCACTGAGACAAGAACTCCAAGGACCTCACCGGCTGGGTGGCTGGAGCAGTGCAGGTAAGTTTAGTTGTTCACATACATCCAGGTGAAGGATGCCAAAGAACAGTAATGGGGAAAGAAATCTGAGCGTTTTCGTTTTTCATGGGCCCAATCTGAACCGATTGCATTAAAAAAGAAAAGAAAAGAAAACTGTCACAAGCTGCAAATAACACAGACCACGCTACCTAGTTTACACAGAAAGGGAGTGAGGTCCTGACAAACTGCTGGCGGGGCCGGAGGAGCAGGCCCGGGGCCGAGCTTCCGGAATATACTCCGGACGACCAGCTGCTACCTGGGTCACGGCCAGGTGACGAGGACACCACGGTCCTGGCCACCCGTGCGGAGCCGCTTCCCATGCTGCTCAGGCTCCCGGACCTCGGGCCCAGCCGTCACAGCCCATGCCTCCCGCAATCACCCTCTCCTTCCCGATCTCACGGGCTGCGACGTTTGGGGGCAGCTAGAGCCAAGCTGCAGGGACTGCGGGTGATGGAGCCCTCAGCTGGGCTGCCTCTAGGATGGACCACAGCCGCTCACACCCCCCTTCCTGCTTGGGAACCTAGGCACACACAGCAAAGCGAGCTGACGAACAAAAACCCAGAAACTTTGGGCCTCATAGCCGACCTGCTGCAAAAATCTTAGAAGAAATGATAGCAGATATAAGATCTATACACTGTATTTGGGGCACAGTCAGTGGAAGGAGGAAGGCAGAAGGCTTTGTTTTGTGTGAGAACTAAACATATGGATTAAAAGGAAATAAGGAGATGCTTCTTGGGGATCAGAAAATAATGCAACTATCTTGGACAGAGGGATGCTGTTTTCAAAGACAACCAGAATTCTTTTTATTTTCACCTCCCAAACCTTCCCTCCAGCCGACCTGCAAATCATCAACACAGATGATTTTAATGACCCAGGCTGTGGAGGCAGATGGCCTGAGCTTGAATCTTGGCCTCACCAATTAAGCTGTGTGACTTTGGACAAATTCTTAACCTCTCTGTGCCTCTCTTTCCTTTTCTGATGGGGGGGAAAGAAATGAATAGAAAAGAAAAGATCATTGCATTTATCTCCCAAAGTGAATTAATATATAAAGCTCTTAGCAGAGTGCCCAGCCTCTAGTAACAATCAGTAATTATTAGTTGTTGCTATGATAGATTATATGGGCTTCCTAGGTGGTGCTAATGGTAAAGAACCCACCTGCCAATGCAGGAGACATCACAGACACAGGTTGGACCCCTGGGTCCAGAAGATCCCCGGAGGAGGGCTTGGCAACCCACTCCAGTATTCTCGCCTGGAGAATCCCGTGGACAGAGGAGCCTGGCGGGCTATGGTCCATAGGGTTACAAAGAGTCAGGCATGACTGAAGCTTCTTAGCACGCACACATGATAAATTACATAACCACTCCAAACTGAAACTCACAGTCACGAAAGGGCAGGAACTCGAATCGGATGGGTCTGAGAAGGTGGCATCAATTTTAACACATTTTTACTCATGCAAAGGATACACTCACCAGCACCATGTCAGGCAGATGGAAAATTGAGGTCCTCTGAGAACTTAGGAGCACACGTCAGTGTCTGTGGGATCCCACACCCTCTTATCTCCAGCTTAGGCCAGGAATGGGCAGCTGCACGCCTCACCCCAGAGTGAAGATCCTGGAGGAGAGAAGACAGACAGCTTCGCTTGCTGACGGGTTGCTCCCTTTTAGCTATGATTGCTTCCTGTGGGCATGTACCTAGGTAACAAAGGCCACATTCTTGACCAGCTCCGGGATTCAGTTCCATGGGCAAGTACCTCATGTGGGTGTGACCTTAGTGGTCCAGTGCTGGGTGTCTGGGGCCGTGACCACACAGGTAAGTCATCAGCAACAGTCCACGCATCTGTGTACAGGATTATTTCACTAAACTTGGGGTCAGTGTATTTTATGGCCAGGGTCCCAATGTAGTCAGTGCACTGGGCAGAATTTTCTCTGCCATGGGTCATCAGCGATTTAGCTCCATTACAGTGGAGTGAGTGGGACATCCCAGGGGATTTTCCCATCTCAGGGAGGGCTGTTTCACCCGTGCTCTCTTGTCAGTGGCCAGTGTTACAGGAAGACCCTCCTCAAAGCATCGGTTTGGCTCAAGCAGTAGGTGAGGCTGTGTTGCAAGCTAATGTAGACAGCCACGTCTTCAGGATCGCTGAAGTTTCTAGGCCAGGTTTGGCCTTTGATTGGATGCCATTTCCATCTCACAGTGGAATATTCTAGAATTTGTGCCACCTTATGGGAATTGAGTTCCCCCAAGTGTCCCAGGAGAAATCAGGACAATTAAAGGCATGCTCGTTGCAAGAGGAGCCTTCTGGAGGTATAAAGGAAGCAAACAGACCTCAAGTTTGGCCAAGGTCACTTATCAAGTATGGCCAAGATCACTTATCAAGTGCGGTAGCAGCCACTCCAAAACAAGCAGATGGGTTTACTGCAGCTGAAATCACTATGGAGGGGCTGCTGATCGGGAAGAGAAGGTTTGAGCTCTTCTAACTACAGGAAAAAATCTGCAACATTGTTACATTTTGTGGCTGAGAGCTGGAGGACTTAAAGAAAGGGACCAGGCCATCATCTGAGAATTGTCATAGATTTAAATATTCGTATTATTTTAAAATACTAAATAAACATTCAACTGGAGAATTTTTAAGCCCAAGGATAGTAGATGAGAAGACATGATAAAACAGAACTCAGAGAAATTAACCACTGTAGAAATGAGCGGGAATTCCAAGACCAGGTTCTACAGACTTGCATTTGGGTAGAGAAACCTCTGAAAATCCTAATACCAAAAAGAGAGAGAGAGACCACAAAAAAATACATAGGAATGAAAAACAAGACATAAAAACAGATATGCAAGGGTTGGTTTTTTTAAACAAGACAGAAGAACAGATATGGAAGGGTTTTTTTAACTATAAGAGAGTAAGGTGGTACAACTCTATGTTAGTATATTTCACAGTCTCAAAGAAGTGGATCATTTTCTGGGAAAACACACATTACTAAATTTGTCTCAAAGAGAAGTGAAAAAATTGCAATGACCAGCAAGCATGGAAGAAAGCAAACAAGTTTCGAAAAACTGCCTCCCCAAAAAAGGCGTTGGGGTCAGACTGGTGTCACAGCATGTTCTTTCAAATGTTCATGGAACAGATAATTCTCACATTATGTAAACTGTTCCAAAGTAGAGAAAAAGAAGGAATACGCTCTCGTTTATTTTATAAATCTAACATGACATTAAGAATAAAACCTATGAAAGGATATAGCAGAAAAACGAATAAAGTCATTTCAACAATAAAGATGCGAAGCTTCTAATTAAATCCTAAGTAGACACGAGCACACACACTGAATTCAACAGCACAACGGAGGACAATGTCGGCTGCTGGGGAGACACGCCGATTGCACACACACTCCTGCCACGTGCCCCGCTAAGGATGCTGGCGCTTGTTGGGGGGCAAACGGCACCTCCTGGGAGGCGGGGGGGGAGGTGTGTGCAGCCCCCTGAGCAAGGACCGCCCACCCCGCCCCCAGCGAAGCGCAGAGCTGGGTCTGTGGGTGACCTGACAGGGGATAAAAAGAGCCGTGTCTCCAGCACCTGGGAACGGGGTCGGGGAGCTCCACAAGTCTCCCAAGTATCTCCTCTATGTGCCCGACAAGGTCCCCAGCATTCTCATGTCTGACACAGAGCGCCCACACCAGTCAGGACGGGAGTGGGGGCAGTCCCTGCGAGCGAAGGCCTTTCCGAGTGCCCACCCCAGGGCTCTGGAGAGGGAGGGGAGGACAAACAGGAGAACCAGAGACCCAGCGGGAGCCTGTGAAGAGGGAGGCAAAGAGACGGGATTTGTGCTGAATCTGAGACCAAAGAGTTAATGTGGGCCGAACTGAGTCACGGGGAGGAAGCTGAGTGCCCCAGAACCAGCAGAAGAGGCAATCCAGAGAAAGTCTGGCTGAAAGAAGTGCCCAACAAGCTACTTATAATTGTCTTTTTTTTTAAGTCACATCACATATACGGGATCTTAGTCCCCCAGCCAGGGATCAAACTCTCACCCCCTGCATTGGAAGCAGGGAATCGTAACCACTGGACCACCGGGGAAGTCCCTTGTCTTCTCTTCACCATCCGTGTTTTCCTGATTTGCTACAACAGACATCTTATTTTTATAAACGGAAAAAAATTCAAGATTGAAACTGACACTGTGGATTGTGTGGAAAGGAAAAGTATGCCATTTAGGGCATGTTTGAAGGAGGCTATGATATTGTGCCCCGAGAAGATTTAGAGGGTGTTTATCATCACATAGCTACAGAGGTAGGCTTTGTAACTGTCAACTCCATAAAAATGCAAACTATAAATAACCATCATAAACGCTGAAGAAAATATAGGCTTACTCCGGGATCTTGCAGACGCTGGGACAATGGCCATTGATTTCAAACGTCAGGGAGACAGATCCCAGGTTCAAGTAAGGAAAACCTCGGTCCGCCGGGGCAGCCCAGCGTGGATCAGTCTCCAGGTTAGAGAGTTACAACTCCATCTGCCCCCCCAGGCAGGTATGAGTGATGTGCGGACTCCTCAATGGGCAGAGATACCCCGCCCTGGCCCCTGCTACCCACCCAGCCTCAGCACCCACGCCATTCCTCCAGCTGCTGCCCACATTCCCAGTCCTCCGCCAGGTCCAGGATAGACCCAGGACCCCCTCGCCGAGCTCCCTGCATCACCGCTCAAGAATCCCTTCCATTTTCCTGAATGTCTCCTTACCCGTCCAAGTCACATTTTGCCCTTCCCTCCCTGTCCTCTCCTAGTGGCCTGGGCACGCCTCCCTCCCAACCCTGTGACATTTTCTCGCCATTGGCTCCCACTAGGCTGTGAGTCCCCCGGAGGGTAGCACCTCTGACCTTTCAACTCTGAATCCCTAGGACCACACCTGGCACACAGCAGGCTCTCAGCAAGCACTGGCTGGCTGACTGAATAACCACATCATCCAAGGTTCTTTTTTTGAATTCACACCGGGAACAGTATCCTGAATGTGTTTGGCGGCAGCGAAAACCCTGCTTGCCCACTAACCCTCTTGCAATTCTCAATGCCCCATAAATCAATCGAGGTGGACATGATTATTGCGCACTTTGGTTAATTGCAAACCCAATCATTTCCCATTAAAAAGAATGGCATTTTACATAAAGTTGAAACGAGCCACTGGTTTTGAAAGTGCATGCAATGTGGTTTTCTGATGGGCAGAGGAACTTCAGGGAAATATTTATTGTGCTCACGGATGACATTCTAGCTATTGTCCGCATTCCTCTTTATGGCATCATAAAGATTACTTTTTACGGTCAGGATGGTTGACATCTTCATCAAATCC